TCACTAAACCTCTTTAGTAAGTAGACCAACTGAAAAAGAAACTTCAGATTTTGAAAGCTGCTGGTGATAAAAACTGAACAAAGAGACATTTTAAGACTGAATACTTTGTGGAACTGTTTCACTACAACTTACTTTTTTTTTTAACTTGAAAAGACGCTACATTTCTTTTGTGCATTGCATTTTGGGAGCATTTGTGCTTCAGTAGCACACTCAAAAATGACTCAAAATAACTCTTCTAACAGGAACACATTACAAACTAAAAACCTGTTTAAAGCAAGCGTGTAGTACAGCTAAGATACAAGGTGCAAGAAAGTCAGGTCACGTGGACTAAAACAATTACTTTTTAAAACTCCTGTTCTGCTTATATTACCAGTCATCCATCAGACTTCATGACTTGTATGAAAGCCAAAACACCATGAAGTCAAAAACAACAGCTGTGGCTCAGGAGGCAGAGCCAGTTGGAAGGTCGGTAGTTCGATCTCCAGCTCCTCCATTCCACATGTCAGTGTCCTTGGGCAACATACCGATCGCCCAAATTGCTCCCAATCCGATTAAACCCCCATGCAGAGTTTGAAACTGTGCATGATAGGCAGAGAATACTTATAAAGCTCTGTCAATTTCTGAATGTGATCAGAGTAGAAAGGTACTATGTATATAATAGTTAATGTATCTATGTTTTATTCTTCTTCTTATTTTTATTTGATAAGTTTATCTGATAGAGTAGATTTGAAAATTTGATGTAAGAATTTTGTTATAAAACTTCCAGTTGATATTTTACCTTCATTAGTAACACTGTTGAAACCTGCCAATAATAAACTCTTCGGTTGACTGAAAAAAAGTGGTCATCATTGCGAGTTCCAGAAAATGACTTTTTAACAGTTTTGTGATGACTTTCTTGTTACACAATTATCTCCATAACAACATTATCGCCTTTAAAGCCTGACTGAACAGACAAAAGCTGAGAAATTGTTCTGACATTTTAAAAAGAAAGAAGCAGAGGCAGAAGTGTCCACTGAGAGTTTGACAGGCGGCCACATGCCCAGCTGGGCAATTTTTAGCCTCTGCGAACAACACTCATAAGGTTAGGTGAAAATTCAACTTGGAGTTGTTTGGAAATGGTGTTGAAATCTATAATGTTTTTTCTTTTGCAACTGTATACTATCTATTACATCTAAATCTGTCTGCTTCTCGCAACTTGTACTGTATCTGATATCCTGTACTTATATTGAATTGCAGTAAATGCGTTTCTGTCTTTCTGTCAGGTCACTAAAGTACGATTATACCAAGTCCAGCAAGTGCTGAGTGCACAGGGCCAACTGCAGCAGTCTGATAAATAAAAAACCAAAAAATCCGTAACATCATATCACAGAATTCCATTTCAGACAGACACCTCCCCTTTGAATTAGAAGACTGATGTCTTTCTTTCCCTGACCCTTTTCCCCTCACATGCTGTCTCACTCTCTCTTTGGGTTTCAGTGTGTAAATCCTTGTGTTGCTTTGCCCTTTTAGGTCTTTCTCTTTTTTCCTTCTTTGTCAGAAGTGCTGTGCAGGGGATATAAGCCAGAAAAGGGTGGAGAGGGATAAGATGATAAAAAAAATTTAAGGGAGGGGATGAAAAGCAATGTTTTAAATTGTGTTAAAACAGCACCTGCACCCCCTTTCCTGTCTGGACTCAGTCATAGACTGATACTAACATTTCCATGGATCAAGATGTTACATAACATGATGGTGTGCTATGAAATTGTATTATGAACCACCAATCATTAATTCCATTAATCGATACAACTGACTGTTGTGAGAAATTAGATGAGTAACATCCTCTGCCTTTGACTATCTAAGTAATCGTTACACATCTAGCTAATTTTACATGTGAAACTGTTAACCATTTTTGAATGTATTCTAATGTTTGTCTTGATTATCTACCTCTATCTTTCAGAAGATGGAAGCTGAAAGTTGAATGGATGGATTTTTTTTCTTAACTGTCCCACCTGTTCCAAATTTGGTTAATTGACATTTCACTGTTACACAGTCCACCCTGTCAGGAAGTAGCCTTGAAAAATAATTAGTTCTCACTGAACATTGACACTGAATTTAAATCTCAGAAGCTCATATTTCCATTAAGAAAATGTGATGTTTGGCCATCCATCTGTCCGTCTGGCCATCCGTCCGTACAGCCGTCCATCCAATGTGATGACAATGAACAACTGAGCCAATAGGTCCATTTTCTAATGACAGAGCTAACGATCTGAAGAGGATGCAGTGAGTGTACTAAAGTCAGAGGGAGCCAGTGTTAGTCAATATTGGCACCAAAGACATTAGCAAAGACATTTACCCTTCACTTCTCCTTCCTCTCCCCTCCCTTGCACTTTCTGTTTTTTCTTATTCTTTAAACTGTTCCAAGACACCTCATCCAGTTTGGCCTTTTAATCTTAGAACAGAAGCAGTTGTTTCACTCCTTTTAATTTCAGCCATGATTCATCACTTCTGTCGCTCATTTCTTCAGGTGGTGATAGATAGATAGATAGATAGATAGATAGATAGATAGATAGATAGATAGATAGATAGATAGATAGATAGATAGATAGATAGATAGAAAGAATTATTTCTCATACACAATCACTTATAGACATAACTTTGACCACCTGTGGTATGTACTAAATGTCTATGGGCCCTGAGATCAGGGGTTAGTGAGCTGGAACAGCTTTGATATTTGCTGACCTGCTGGGCCGTGAAATATCCCTGTATATGCCCACACCTCATATCCATTTAAATAGATTTAAATAAACAACCTCATACTGTGTCTGGATTGGATGAGAGCTCAGACAGATGGATGGATGGAGGGACAAAGAGAGATAGGTAGGTGAGGTAGAAGGTAAAATGCCGTTAAATGCAGTTTTTTCCTCCTATTACCATATAGCATGGGAATGTGATGATTGATGGTTTGGTGGAGGGATATGGCAAGCGCGGATAGACGATGTGTGTAGTGAGGAGGAACGGAAGAAGATTCTATTTCAGATCTGCCTTCATCTGACACACACGCATGCCATTGATCTTATATGTAGATTATGTTTAGCTTTTATCTCCAGCACAGACTTTTTCACTTAATACTTAGACAATATAAGTGTTCACTAGAACATAAATTCTCTTAATTGTTCAAATAACCTTTATGACATTGTTACATCTTTACAGTTCAAGACCATTAACTATTTCATTATTATACCTTATGATACATTTCAATAGATGCCATTTATTATATGATCATTAGCAGTTAATGTTCTTAACATTTCTCATTTTGAATACTTTCAGCTCATTGAATAGCCATTTTCAGTTGCTTTCAATTTGGTGTCATCCTCTTCCTACAAGGAGTCATTTATTACCTAATCTTAGTTGAATTTTGGCTGTTTTACTGCATTGAATGGAAGTTAGAGTTGGTGTTATGTTTAATATAGCAACAAAACTCCACCTTTGGAGACTGGTGACAGTGACTTAAAGCACTCAGTTGTAACACGAGTTTGAGTGTCAGCATTCAGCTTCAGTACTCATTCTGTACTTGGTTTTGGTTTGGGTTAAAATACACCCATTAACACCTTATTATGACATCTACACAACGAATTTATGGACATGCTGAAGGTGGAAGAGTGTCTGAATAAATCATATATTTACTCCATGAATATCTTCACTGACTGCATTTTCCTGTCTTCAAGAAAAAGAAGACAGATGTGAATGTTTTTACTGGCAGCTGGGAAATGCATGCCCTTCTCAGGGGCACAGCTGCATTGAAGCTCAGCGATAAACTGCTGCCATGTGTCATCCTCAAAACAACCAAATGAAAAACTTTCACAACATGCTTTGAAATTTGGTCAAATATTGAAAAACACTGCAGTTAATATTGCATTTAAGCTCACTAATGCTGGATATTATAAACATTATAAACAGTTCTGTGTTGAAAAACTGCAGCAACATTGCAAATGCTCTCCTTTTCAGCTCTGTCTGAATGCTACCAGCTCAGCCTGGAAGAAATACCTTGGCATATCGATAGAGCCACCCATACCAAAGCTTTTTATCTATCTCTTCACTCTGTTCTTTTATTCATCATTCTATTTCTTTTCCTGGGAGGGAAGCACTGTCGGTGGAGGCCTAAACACCCTGAAGGGGATGGAGAGATTTCAGGTGTCAAGGGAGAAAGAGAAGAGTCAGAGAGGGATGTGAATAATAGATCAGAGAGGAGAGAACGAGAAAGTGGGAGAGAGTCAAAAGGAGAGAATGACGGCGATATTAAAGGTGTGAGCAACAGAGTGGTGAATAGAGGGAAAGAGAAACTGATAAAGGAACCGAGTCATATTCTAGAGGAAACTAGAGAAATTTACAGGAGTGAAGAAGGATGGATCCTTTTCTCGAAGGGCAACCTTGACAGAAAAAAACACATCTGCAAGAGTCGTGCATCTGTCCATGCATCCAGCAATCCATCTGCTTCTCCATCTATCTATCCATCTGTTCCTCTGTCCTTCCATCTCCATCCTGTCTTCATTGTGGTCAGGAGTTGTTGCATAAGACAGCGATTCATCTTTTATTGAGATGGGGAGCTTCTATAAATATGTCTAACTCGTTCTCTGGGGTTTAAAAGCTCAACCTGTAATCCAACTAAAAATAAACAAAGGATTACCTCAATAACAAAAACAAATCTCATTATGTCTGGTACCAGCACGACATAATAACTTTTGCCTTTTTCTTGATTCATTTAGAGTAAAACTGATCAATAGCATTGTTAAAGACAATTTATGTTATATGTGTTTTTTTTCACACACTGTGCTCCAGACTGCATGTGACCAGGTTTGGGTTAGGCTGTGTTTTAGCTGCATGCTAAACAAGACAATTTCTAGAAAATATTCCATAAAAGAATAAATTTTCACCTTTTGAATGAAGTCCCATAGATGCAGTTTGACATTACAATTGTTCATTTACAGGCTTTTGAATATCAATATGTCATACTTGTTCCTTACCTGAGCAGATCAATTTCATCAGCATGAACCCCTGTTCAAAGTGTTTCCTATTGGCACATCTCAACAGGCAGGAAGCCAACTTCTACTGGTCTGTATGACACAGTGCTGCTATACATGTAACTACAAAGACAGACAGAGAACAATGGGAAGGTCAGCACATTAGTGAGAAAAAAATGTGTGGTGTGAGCCTAAAGAGGGCAGGGAAAGAAAACAAACAGCAGGCGGGTGGATGGCCAATGAGAAATAAATGAAAGAACGTGAGAGATGCTGTGTTGCTTTACTGAGAGATGGAGGAAGAGAGGGAGGTAGCAAAGAGTGATGTGCGAATTGCAACCTCTGAGCTCGGCTGTTTAGAAAGCCCCAGGGCACATGTGTGTGTGTGTGTCTGTGTGTGTGCAGGTGTATTTGTCTGTCTGTGAGGCAGTCAAGTGGCCACCCACACCATCCTTTGAGTGTATCTATGTGTACATTTGAATGTGTGTGTGTGTGTCTTTATTGCTCTTTCAGGAACATGGCCAAAGGGTTGAAGCGTTCCAATCAATAGCTGAACCACACACACACATAAAGGCAAATACTAGTAATTTACTACAAGGATCTAATACTTGTAATACTGTATACTGAAGGCTTTAACTATTCTACTGTAGTTGTGCAACAGCTATGCAAAATAACAATGATGCCAGGAAAACACGTTAGCATCAAAAGTATAATTTTTGTAAGTACGACTTTGAAAAATCTGAAAGCAAGAAGAAACCTGTGGATAAAACTTCCTCTGATTTGCTTAACTTTAGAGCAGTCTCTCTGTAAAATGATTATGCTTATTCCTCCTCATAAAGGCTTGTATTGCTAATTTATTTTCAGAAACAAACACCAAGATGCCAGCTTGAAGCTTTTTTTGTTATATTTACTTTTTCCATTTATTTTCACCACAACTAAGCTAATGTTTTTCACATTTCAGAAAATGTATTAGTGTTGCTTAGGCTGCTTTTACCTCAGGCATAAATTTTGCATTAATCAATAGAGGCACTTCCTCCGTTTCATTACATGTCGACTTCTCTTATTCATCACATTGCTCCACTGACTCACTATTGACATTAATGACACAGCCATTTTTAAAACCTTTTATTCATCAAGAAAAGTATTATTGAGGGTCAGGCTTCTTGTTTTGGAACTCGGAGATGAATTGCATGCCATCCGATGAGGGAGGATCTCTATTTTTACACATCCAACAGGCTTGTTTAATTGTGAACATCTTTTTTTCTTCTCAAAAATCATGAACAGCTGCTGTGAACCAGTGGAGCCGTAGGTCTGTATCACGCATTCAGATACAGAAATTGGAAAAGGTCATTACAGACAGAGTTGAGTTTGGTAAACACATCCCGTGCTGTCAAACACATTGTCTTTGTCAAGTCAAAGCGATAATATGTCACGCTACAATTTGTTCTGATTCTGATAAATCGTGAACACGTGGAAGATTGTAATGCCTCACTTCCTGTTCGCAGTGAGAGTGTTAGGATCCTGCATGTGTGTGTGTGTGTGTGTGTTTGTGACTCATGAACCTGTGATGCTTTCTGCATTGTTATTATATAACTGTCCCTGCACACACAGACCGATATTACGGACAACACACTCTGGCAGCTAGACGGAACGATCTCTCCTCTCTCACACATAGTGAGTTGTTCTCACTCCAGTCTTGTCCTGGACTATGTTTATGTGTGTGTGCGTGTGTGAGAGAGAGCAGAACTTTCAATCCCAAACAAACATTCAATAGGATGAGCTGAAGCTAAGAGAGGAACTGCTTAGAGGGATGAGTGAACTAAATTAAGGGGGGTCTATCCACTGATAAAGCACACTAGATTTCAATTAAATTAACTGAAGATTTTAGTTTAGTGTAGCTTTGTCTGCTTTTTTGCCTTTTTTGTAGTAACATGTTACACTGTGGGCAGCATGGTGGTTCAGTGCTTAACACTGTCACCTCACAGGAAGAAGATACTAGGTTCCAATCCGTGTTTCCGTGTTCTCCCTCTGGCTTCCTTCCAAGTCGAATGAGGTGGGCGTTAAGTTAATTGGCGATTAAAAATTGGGTGAAGCTGTGGAAGGTTTTCTGTTAGCCCTGTGATATGTTGGTAACCTGCCTATGGTGTACTCTGTCTCTCCTCCATGACAGCTGGATAGGCTCCATCCCCCCTGTGACCCTGAATTTGATAAGTGGAAGAAAATAGATGGATGCTGCAGTGCTTGGATTTTTGTGTTAGCTGTCAGCCTTTAACAAGACAACATGCCTTGTCCTTTTACTGCATTTTACAAGTTTAATTCATCCATACCTTTTTTTATTGTAATTTCCCAAATCAAAAAGCTGAAAGGAACTTGCAATCTACCATCAAGCATTTCCATAAAAGTGCTTTGAAATAAATCCTTTAAATTATTCAGTACCAAATTAAGACAACAGAAAGTAAGGATTACTTTTGTTTTTTTGTCAACATGTAAGTACTTTGGCCCCAAAATATAATTTTATGTATATAGTTATGTTTGAATTCACTTTACATGAAGCTCTATTACAGATACAACAGCAATGCACATCTTTAAAGTGAAAATTTTGAAGATGCACTTTATTTTTTATTACATATATAAAATGTTATATGTAAAAGTTTAAAAGCTCTAAGCACACAGAAATATCATTATATCAATATATAGCTTTTAAAGGAAAACAAGGGAGGCAAATGAAAAGCAAAGCAAATGGCTCATCACATCACAACAGCTACAAAGACAAAAACAAATACTACCCCCACACAAACACATTATATTTATACACAAGTTACTTCAGTGGGAAAATGGACCGGATTATTTAATCCACTTTATGGGCCAGATTTAGCCCACTGAAGAGTCCAGCCTGGCTGGATGTGTTTTTAAAACACTGCACAGAAGGACTTGTGACAAATTTTCTAAACTACTACTAGTTCACTATTTTTTTTCTTTAACTGGTTTCTTACAGACAGTGACATGACCAATGTCACGCCAGACCACAAAGCATAGAGAGAGCTGGTCCTGGCACAGTTATATTTACCTTCAGTGACATTGCTGAGACATTATGGAAATTTCATGTATTTTGCTTAAGACAAAAACAATTCGAGTTGCCTGTTATTTGTTTTGTAGATGGACTGTTCATTATTGTGATTTAGGTGTTTTCTTTTCATTTCTTTGGTATTTTTTGTGGATTATTATGCAATGGTTTCAGTGGCCTGGCCCTCTTGGGATCAAACTTGGCTCTATGTGGCCAATGAACTAAAGTGAATCTGACACCCCTGATTAAATAGAATGCACACAAAAGGAAAAAATGCACTAGATATTCAGTTTTTATAGCTGTAAATTTCAAAATAGGAATAATGTCATTTCTTCACAGAGCTGAGCTCTACGTAGTTGCCAACACAAGACAACTGCCAATTTCTCAACATTCCATGTAAATGTCCTTAGAGAGAGTTTGTTGGAGATAAAAGGCTTGTGAAAACTCTAACTGGACAAGCAGAGTGGGAAATAGTATTTATATCCTTTAGATTTTGTAATCAAACACAGAAACTCATCTACTATACCACAATTCTCCAGAGCTTCACATATGTTGCAACACATGACAACATGCAGACTGACTGATGACACTAAATACTGTTCTCTCTCTAAGCAGCCAAAGCAATAAAGTGTGGCAATACTACATGCATAACAGTATAGGGTTACTAATAAAAAAAATTAATAATGATAATAGTAATAATAACATCAACATCATTTGGAACAATAACAACGATTATTATCAGTTGTAAATTGAAATGACTGTTGCCTCACAGCTGACTGACTCGAGTGCTTCCATGTGAAGTTTGCATATTATTCTCTGTGTGCCTGCTTGGGTTTTCTCTCATTACTCAGGCTTCCTCCCACAGTTTAAAGACATGATTTTTCGATTAAGTGATTCTTAATTGTTCGTGGCTGTAAATCTGACTATGCATGGTTGTTTGTTTCCCTCTATCTGTGGTGTTCCCTGCCTCTCGCTCCACGACAGTTAAGCTATGCCTCAGGTCCTCTGCAACACTGACCTGGAGGATATGGATGGAGATGGATGAATAGATGTATAATTGTTAATATGAACTAAATAGTAAAAATAATTTTGTATGTAATGAACTGCTTAGTTATTGTAAAGTGGTTTTTAAAACCTTTGTTAATAAATACTATATAGTGAGTCTGTTCTTTTATTTAAATGCTATTATAAAGGTACCATACACTATATGTAAAAGATGGACATAGTCACTATGACTTCAGTCAGCAAATAATAATTTAATAAAAAGAATGAACGTTAAAGGCGCTTGTACTGTTGCGTCACTTTTCAGACCCAGAACCTACACCCATCATTTATGCACCGTCAGTGGTTTAAATTAATGATTACAATACTATTTTAGAAGATGGTGATAAGCAAACCTGCAGCTTGTGTCTCGTTATACTTACCATTTTGATTTTTTTGATACTTTAGTTTATTTGTGCCTTTACTAGCTGGTTTGGTTTAGACACCAGACTTACTGGGCTGGGTATTGGTGCAACACGGACATCACAGGCTTAATGCTAAAGAGAACTTTGTGTTTAGGCAGCTTTGACTTAATAACTGTATTTTCTGTTCTGGGAGTGAGAATACATGATTCATAAAACATACACCAACCAATGACTGACAAACATTTAGCATTTCATTGGTTGTTAGCAGTATTTTATTTCCTAAATTTTAAAAACTAATAGTTTACGATTTATAAGCAATTTTAGTGGTTTTATACAGAAAGTAGGGCCCATTGTCACAGTAGCTATCACACATTTCTAAGGTGCTACACTTGTTCTGTAGCAAAACAGCTCCAGACACTGTGCAGAGCTTGTAATACCCCATAGATTAGAGAAAAGCAGGCGATGATAGGAAAAGAAAAGGGGGTGAGGGTGAGGGACAGGAACAGTTAGAGAAAGAGAAATTGAGGGAATCAGGTATTGCCTGTAGCCACAACAGCACTCCATCATTTCTTCAGCTCTATTTTCTGGTATTCCCTCTCTCTGATGTTCTTTCGGTGTCCCATTCTCCCTCTTCTCATCCATCTCCTCACAGCTCTCTCTGACAGTCTATTTGGCCCACACAGCCCTGTCATCCATTCAACCTGTCAGTCCTGGGTACGGCACCAATCTCAGAGCAACTCCTGATTGGAGCTGGGCAGACAGGACCCTTGGTTAGAATGTCCATGCCACCCTTTAAAGCCCAGGAGTTCAGCTCCTGTGACGGGTGGGTCACAGAACTGAACCCCACAGTGAGGGGATCGGAAGTTCAGTTCCCGTGGAGCTCAGTGTTCATCGCTTGTTTCAAGGTTGTCACTTAATCTACGTTAACCCTGTTACTGCATTAAAGGATCCCCTCTGTGGAAAATCACTAAGTTTTTTTTTCTTCTTAATAATACATCACATACAACGCAACCACATGTATCACATTTTTAAAGACATATGGTGACATTAGTTATGTAATTCGTAGCATAGAAAGCAGATAAAGAGCATCAATTGATCTAATTCCACTGTGAAAGACACTGTAAAATTGTTGTGCACACAACTAACAAATAATATTTTGCTTCATTAAAGAGAGATTGGTGGGGTTTATGATAATTGCAAGGCTCTGTCATTTTTCCACATCCTCATTAAATCTTTGGATTCAAACATGCAAACATCAATTTCCTAAAGTTAACACATGTTCTTCCTTTGTTCTATTTGCACCTCCAGGCACATTTACACTGAACTATTTAACCTGAAAGGTCACTGCACAACGATACCAAACATGAGATGTCATAAGTTAAAAAAAATGTATAAATACATTTTTAAGAAATCTCTCAATCCCAGTGTTTACTCCAAGTTACAGTGTATGTGTCAGAGTAAAGTCAAAGGGCTTTTTGCAGCATTGACCTTCATAGCTGAGTGGAGACAGGCACCACTTAGATAACCCATGGCAGAGCTTTAATATTCTCTGGGGACTCTGAGCACTAAGAAGTGCCTGCAGCCCTGACACAGCAAGTCTCTTTTGATCAAACCGTCAACCCACATGTCACCGAAAATGTCACACATAATAAAACTGGAAATACGTCTTTTAACACAAGGACATAGCTAACTACACTTTTACCATGTCTGGGGAATTTCACGTTTTTTGTATTCTCTAGTTGATAAGCATTTATTTTTTGCTATTTTGATTTCTCTTATAAAGTTGACCTATATGCTATCTGTACTTCTTCTTCTATGCCTCTTTTATAGACCCGAATATTTGTTACACAACCTAGTATTTGATCTAAGGGATAAAGTGACATTGGGCTGCAGCATTCCTCTTTGTTAGTTTTAATGTAACTGCAGGGTTGTAAGGCTACTGTACTCCACTGCTGAAACAAAGGAGTTAAAGTGTGTGGGAGGAAAGCCTGGGAGGAAAGCTGAGCAAGCGAGATAGAGATGAGCCTATCCAAAAATCACTACAACACGCCTACAATACTCCTATAGGGACCTACGGTGTTTGTGGTACCCAACAGTAAATTTGCCTTACATGTAATTGCCTCCTACAATTTGTGTTTTTTGTATTTACGCTTTTATTTCTCCCCTGTGTCACAGAGTTCACCAATAATGTGCCAGTGTGGTGGATGTTAGATAAATGTAGAGTATGAAAATATATTATTTTACTCACAATATGCATTTATTCAGCATTTGTTCATATTCACGTTATAACTCGTCAATATGAATTAATACTTGGACACTTTTCAATTAATTCAACAGTTCAAAAGCCCTCTCCCACATGTAAAAGTTTAAATTATAATTAACAAAACTACTTAAAATAGCAGTGAAAGCCACTAATTAAGCAGTGAGATTCTATTAGAGTTACTATACATCAATTTATAGACTATAACCACTAATGTCACAATTTATGAACAGCATTTGTTTGCAAGTCATGCTGTAGGATATATTATATGTTGTGTGTATGTTTTTAATTTAAATGATCAAGCATGCAGTAACTTTAGTACAATGTGTTTCTAGAGTGCGTGTGCAGTGTGCATGCAAGTAATAAAATAAATGTACTTACATGGCACCAGCTAACACTTTATAGATTCTTGTTAATCTCCTCTCTGTCCACCTACTGGAATATTACATAATGTTAATCCGTGGGAGGCAAAATACTGTGAGGAAGAGGTCAACATGAACTTACTGCAACCACCCCTCCCTGTAACTCCCTATTTAGTGTTATATCTTTCCATAGAAGGGTGTACGTGTTTGCAGCAATATGATCACCAGAGACAGAGAGAGTTTTTGGATGAGGAGAGAGACACAGAAAGCGATACAGAGCAATTTGCTGCTTACCTGCAAAAATGTAGGAATATGTGTCAGGATTCCTTTCAACAGCTCCTTAATGTCGCCTCACATCACTGACAACAGAACAACAACATCCCTGCTGGATCACCGGCACTCAGTCCAAAGGTCCTCGGAGAGCTCTCTCTCTCTCTCTCTCTCTCTCTCTCTCTCTCTCTCTCTCTCTCTCTCTCTCTCCTGGGACTTGGCCCACCTCCCCAGAATAGCGCTTCGTTAAACTCTCGGTGATACCGGAGGTTTTACCCTGCACAATGATCAAAACTGAGCGAGCAGGTGCTCCGAGCGTCCGAGCATCCTCGCCTCTGCGGTCCCGTACTCACAATCCAAACTGCCTCACGATCAGCATCACCACTGTTACTATCCTCCGATCCCGCAGAGCTTTATTTTCCGTTCTTCTTCTTCCGCTTCTTCTACGACCATTCCTTCGTCGATAGCATCATCACTCTCATCTTCATCCCCGTCCTCGCCATCATCATCGTCATCTGTCGCGCTTTTCTTACCCGCATCCTCACCTCCCTCGCCTGCCTCTGTCCTCTTGCTTCCTCGTCGTGTTTCTGTCCCGTGGCTCTGCAGCCAAGTAAGTGTGTCATGCCTGGGAAGAGAAGCGCATCATCCAGGGCAGGCATATGCCAATAGTAAGACAGGCAGCCAGGAAATCCCTCACCAAAAACAAAGCGCAGTTACGCTCCGATACATTTAGGATAGCATTTAATTTAGGATGTATGAAAAAATCAGTAACTGAAAGCGAACTGTTGAAACCATTAAAAAAAAGTTTGAACGCTAATATTTTAATGATGCCCTAACACGCAGTGGTCCACACTCGGTTAATCTTGGAGGTTTGATGGAGGTTACTCTATTACTCTAAGGTTATTAGTTAATGTTTCTCACCTGGACCATCCAGCCTATAAATGATTATATATATATATATATATATATATTTTTTAAAGTTTAATAAAATACATTTATTAAAACTAAACTACATCCCTTGCCATTTCCAGCTGGCCACTTTCCCAAAGCTAGTTTTTGACAAATGGGGGCCTGTCCTGTATTTAAACCCCCAGGACCTCCTGCACACCAAGAAACGATCAATATTACAAATCCAGCAAATGTCATAGTGTGTTTAAAGCTTGCAGCCTGGAGGTTTCTACTTCAGTCCGAGATGTAACGGGAGCTTCTTTATCACAGATCTTGAGGTCAGACTGTGCATTCCCTTGGGCAGCTTCTGTGTTTGTAGAAAAGAAAGCTAAAGTATAGCATGCATGTGTTTTTCAAATACATCTATGTTAGTAGCATCATTTTGCACAAACCCATGAAAAAAAATGAAAATGATGTTCCCAGTTCAATATGGAAAAACAGGCAGCCAGGGCACAGAGCCTTAACCTAGACCTCATCCAATACTGTTGGGCTTAACTGCATCCCCAACTGTTAGCCAGGCCTTATCACCCAACATCAGTTGCCAGACCTCATTAATGCCGTTGTGGCTGAATGGAAATCCCTTCAGCCATGTTCTAAAATCCTGTAGAAAGTCTTCCCAAAACAGTGCAGGCTGTTACAGCAGCATGCTAATGCTTAGGTGTAATACTGAATCCCCACAGGTGAATTTGATTTTTGCTGGTTAATTTACAGGCATATGCGACTGACTTTTCTGTTTGAGCAAGGCTGCACTGTCACGGTAGACCTTTGCATTGCTGTAATAATTATATATCAGAATAGAAAATAAAATGGAAACAAAAACAAACAAACAAAATAGAAAATTCTATTAAAAAACTTGATCAGACCATAAAAAAAGGATATTGTGAAGGATTTTCTATTAAAATAATGCCTATTTTGGTGAGACAGTGGAGGTGTCAAACTGATGTAATGTCATCTGAGATTAATCTTTTAATCTGAAATGGGATTAGTGTTTTTAATGACTGGGGTTAGAAGCATGTAGTAGTTCAGAAAGTTGATTCAAACATGTCTTGAAAGACAGTGAGAAATTCAGATTGACCGTAAATATGATCTGTTCGAGAAAGAAGCTTCAGAACTGAGGCTCTTCACAACAAGTATTTTAACATTCGCTTTTAATCTATTTTCCTTATTTACATTTTTATGAGTAAGACGTCTGAGTCTCCTGAGAGTTCTTACAGTAAATCTCATCTCACATAATTTCCAAAACAATAATAAGTAGCACTTTTCCCTACAATATTTGCTGTAATCAAGGACTGTTTTTATAATGCTGTTGTAGATTCACCAACCTTATGGTCTCAACTGGCACCAAATTTCATTCTTCTTGTTGTCTATTTGTCATAATTCTGCCTTGGGGTTTGCCGTTATTGGCCACAACATCATGCATCACACTATCCACCCACCAGATGTCCTCAGTCTTCCATTGTTTTCTACTAGTCACCTGTCTGCACGAACCCATCGCACCTGGTTCTAATCCCCTTCAGTCAGCTCACCTGTGTCCACTTCCTCGTTTTGGCCATCCCTCAGAACATAGTTCCACACTCTCCACTTACCAGGTTGCATTTTGACCTTCATGCTGCTGCATCTAAGTGACCATCTGTCTGTTTTTGACTCTGAAACCTGGACTCGGGCTTTGACTGCTCCTTTTGACTGCTCCATTTTCTGTGGTTGCATTTTGTTCTTTTGACGTTAGACATGACCGGTTTGCTGTATAACTCTTTACTGTTATACCTAAACAACAAAATCCCATAAACAACATTTAGTTGGGAGATATAATGTGAATATAATATGGAAATTTTCTTTAGTTTTATTTACATAAAGTGAGTGTCTCATTTTGTGGTGCTTTTAAATAATCCTTTTCTTGAAAGGAAAATCCTGTTTCATATCGTAATCAGGATATCTTTAAGGAACGGATTGAAAAGTACTATTATGTCTTACTCATCTTCTTAACAAAATGAACCAAATGTCTAGGAAAAAACCATGGAAGGATGTATTTAACGGTTTGAACCACAGTGTGGAGACAGCGCACTTCCAGTTTTCTTGTAGAGCTAGCTGTCTGCTCAGGTAGTGCTGTTTCCCCTTTGCTGGTAAATACTGCATCTCATTTTGAGTGCACATTAACAGTATCAAAGATACAAACCTGTGACAACTGCACCCCTGCTACAATGTTCACTCCTAACCAAAAAAGTATGTATGCAGTGCTTTTCTCCCTGTACATCAATGCACATTTCCATCATATCTGAAATTTATATTTCATGCATAATTAATCAATAGTTAAGATAAAGCTGAACTTTTTTAGTGCTTTCATTATTTGCGCTGTCATCATTGGTGCAATATTTTGACATCATTTAAAATCTGCTTCAATTCAGCAGTACCAGCTGTTCCAAGGCTCCTTAACAGGATATGGAGAAAACAAAGAGTGTTGAGCATGGAGAGGATGGAAGGAAAAAGAATATCTTTTTCTTCACATTGTGAAGCGTTTATTGTTCACAGGCAGGATGTTAGTCAAACAGGTCTCCTTGTTGTGTGGAGAAACATCTCGTAGTGCATTTTTCACTAGAAAATGCCTCGTGTGTCTTTTCTTTAGTCAAACAGGGAACCACGGCATGTCTGTGGTTCCAACAAATATGAGCTTTTAGACATGGGCAGTGTCTGTATTTGTGCTCCTGTTTTTGTAGGGCTGTTTTGAACTTGGGTTTATTTGTCAGTGTGTCATTGGGATGTTTGATGCAGCTCTGCTTTTGTGATGGTTGACTGCAGTGCTTTTTAAACCAGGAATGAGGGCTAGGACTGCTGCCAATGGGCATACATTTGGGAGGGGTACTGGTAAATTTCAGTAATCTGCTCTGCCATGACTTACACATTGAACCTTTACATCTGGCAATTCCATGATCTACCTATTTATCTACATGCCACAGCTTTATTTCTTCCCATTGCAAAGACAACAGCACATCTGCTTTACAGACCGTCAGAGGACATGAAAACAAAAGCAACCCAATTGCAAATCCTCATGCACAACACGAGGCCAGAACCTTTGTATGTCAGTGTTTAGTCTGTAGATGTTTGTGTTACACCACACTGAAATATTTGCACAGACAAGCAAAAGAAAACATTTTTCTCCTTCTGCAATAACAACAGAGACAGACCGTTTTATTTACGAGATTTTATCGAAAGAGCTTGGCGAGAAGACGAGTTGGAAGGCTTTATAAAAAACATCAGTTTATCTGTGACAATGGAAGAAATTCTTCACGTTTGATTGGACAGAAAGAAAATCCATTTTCGAAAGATTGCTCCCTGTTAAAGCCCATTGACATTTATATTGACTTCTTTTTACTGTAAGATCAAAGTGTTTCAGATCCAAAATACCACAGTGCACATGTAATTAGGCACAGGTGCATGACTTTGTGGAAGGCACAACATTTAGATTTATTCATTTAAAAATAGTTTTTTTTAATGTCACCCTCTTTATGCAACATTTCTTTGAAAGTTTCTTTTAAATGACTTCTAAATGAAAACATTCTTTGGTTGCATCATAGACATTTTCTCTTGGCTGCACATGAGTTGGAAAATTGAAGACATTTGTGCATTTCTTTTCCATTATTTTCTGCTGAGTCATTTTAGATCTGAGATCACAGTTTTGACAGTTTGAAATATTCTTTAACTTTCATCTAGCATCTATAATGAATGTCTAAAGGGTAAATCTAAAGGGTCTAAAATATAAATGTTTCTTCTTACACTAACAATACTCTGTGTAAACTATTAGACATACAATCTGAAGGATAATGTAAGGGTAGATTGTTAGCTCTTGTTGAAATCTTGAAATAAGGCTGCAAATATAGAATATCAGAAGGAAATATCATGCCTAAAAACCTACGCATATCATATACCTTAACCAAAATAATCTGAAGAAGTGTGAGCACTTAAAACGTTTCCCTTACAGATACCTGTGCCACTCTCTCACATTCATCTGTGCTATTTTTTTATGCCAACAAACAACAACAGCCGCTCTTGACAAGACAGAGCGCTCTCTAACTGGATTACATGCTGGAGTCATGTAAACAGCTACCCGTATCAACTCCTTTTGCATGTAAACACATACTGCACCCCACTTCAAAATTCAGACTTTCTTTGATCAGGCTTCAAAGGATTATCCATTTGCAGTCTCCATGTAATCTTTTTCAAGTATAAGCATGCCTCACTTTAATAGTCTGATTTTTGTAGTTTGACCGTACCACAACGTTTAGCACATGGCTGCCGGCTAGTCCTGTCCCATCCTCACCACAAATGGACCAAAGTTGAGATGAGGCTGAGACACAAGTAGAGATGGGATGGAAGTATGTCTCTCTCCTCTCTCATTCAACATTTTCTTTCCTTTTCAGTCTCTCTTCTTCATGCAGACATCTGTCACATCTCCCAGCTATGCTGCTTGCCTGAATAACTGATGACAGACTGGTGTCTGTGCATCTCAAAAATCACAGTAAAAGCTATTTAAAAGCATCCCACTTTCTTATTAGACTGAATTAGGGTGTAATTGTAAATGTGAGAAAATATGAAAGCTTGAATGCTGATAAATGTGCAGGGCTTGAGGGTCGTAAAGTCATTGTGCTCTCTAGGTAGAGCTAATGAGAAGTTCATTGTTTAAACATACAAAGTCTTTAAACCAGAGTGTTCTAATGGGAAAAATATGTTGTTCATTCAGATGCTGACAACCACTAATGACTGCTGGTTCTCAGAAGCAATGGTAAAAGTAGGGTGG